CGCGCGCGCGCGCGCGCGCGCGGAGCCCAGCTCTTATTAACATATGATAATTCCCGCGAGCGGATAGTTGACGGGATTGGCGCGGTCTATCGGCGCGTAGGATAATAATCGACGAGCTATCTACGGTCAGCTCGTAAAACGGTCGACGGTCGTATGAGGCCCCACAGAGCCGCGGGGAAACTGTCTCTTGCGAAATATCTCGGATGAGTCCATCACGGCGCGCGTCAGGCATTTTCTCCGCTCACCGCGCCTTTACGTGTGACTCGATACGCTCGCGTTAGTGAATGCCACGTAATCACACGAGACCGCGAGTTTCCTCGCGACGTGACTCGTCCTTTTAACGTGGCCGTTCCTCGTCCGAGAGCGGACATAAACGAAGGACACGCCACTCCCCGCCACGTTTTCGGCAAACCCGGAGAGCTATTCGAAAATGTTGCACCTGCCTATGGTAAATGGTCGCGCGTCCGTTTGCGGACGATCTGACGATTAGTGGGCCCTTGAGACGAAATGCCTTTCCGAAGGGTACCGCTTCTTACTATTCATAATAAGATGTGAAGGATTTCGACTCCTCGTGCAACCGTTTTACCTGTCAAACTCACGAGGATCTCTCCTGCGGCAAGATTGTGACAGCAATTTTGACCACGAGACGAGTTATTACTTTAGGACAACGAAATTAGAAGGTCGTTAAATGAAAATCTTGATGAAGAAACGTCTCCGTGTGTGAATATCACTGTCATTTTTCCAATTAAGCGAGATATCTCTCCGTTTACAACACCGGTAACTGTGGAAGAGCAATTACACGCCGGCACGCATCATATAAACTTGTTACGACGGTCTAACGTCGTCTTTATTGATATTTCCTTCGAGCGCCGAGTCAGGTAAACGATCGCGATGATTTTTCCGAGGCAGCGAGAGCGCCGTTTTCTAAAGCGCCGCACCTGTCCACGGGACCGCTGCGTCTGCGGTTTCTCGCTCAGACCACGGCGAGTTAAAATCGGCTGGTGAATAATGGTGAAAGGAAAGAAAGCTTTCCGAAAAGTACCCGAACTGTGCGCCTGGCCCTAATATGTACACAGGATTTGGCTTTTCACCGTCTCCCCTTTCCCAGGTCTCGTCGTCGACTCGAGACCACGTAAGGTCGACGACGGCCAATATTTGCGAAGCACTTTCATTTTCGTGACGCGTTGCTCGAGATACTCATATATACGTTTCTGGTCAGAGCGCCGCTTTACCCACTACCTTACATCCATTTAATACCTCCATTGTGCTGTGCTCTCATGCGACGCCGCTTTGCACACGGTACGGAGGAAGAGACGAAGGCTGAGAAAAGCGGAAAGCTGTGAGAGAGAGAGAGAGAGAGAGAGAGAGAGACAAGGTACGAAGAGAGGAGAGAGTACGAGGGCAAGATGTGTAACAAACGGATCGCGGGTCAACGATCAAGGACCCGGCCGAGTTTGTTTGAGGACGATTTAAAGATCTCCCTGTATGAAGCGTGACTCGACTTTATTAAAGCCGACCCTAAAACTCGCTCCTTTTCGTTTACCTCGGCTTGCTCGCTTTTATTGGTTTCTCTTTCGTCGTTATGTAGAAAATATACTGTACATCGTGTAACAGCAGCGTCTGTTTCTTTTTATCTTCTCTCTCTCTCTCTCTCTCTCTCTCTCTCTCTGTCTCTCGTGGTCGGTGATTTTAAACGTATTCGAACACGGACTGCAAATAATACGTGACTTATCGCGTTGCGATTTATACGGGAAACGTTGAACGTCGGTACGTAAGTCGCGGATTTAAATGACAGATTCGAATTTTATCAGGAATAGCGCGTACAGAGAGGAAAAGAGACAGAGAGAAAGAGAGAGAGAGAGAGAGAGAGAGAGAGAGAGAGAGAGAGAGACGGGTGTGATGAAACGCGACTGTTTAATCGTCCGTGACCGGCGAGAAAAATCAACCGTCGAATAGGCGAATAATCGCACGCGATATCCGTTCTACGCTACACTTGAAACTACCAGCACGCTTCGCTCCCACCTATTATTTGAACTAGCGAGCGCGAGCACGGCTATCATTAATACGACAAGTACGACTTAATGCCGGTCGTTTATTTAATTAATGAACTCGGAAAGTTAATAGATCGCAGACAGCGCGCTGCGCCGTGCAAGTGTGACCGTAATTCTCGAGGGGGCCACGACAGGGGGAGCAGATTGCGCGCTATCTAATCATTGTTGCAATCATTCCGCGACAAACGAATCGTAAGCGTCGTAATGCGTTGCGTGTGCGTGCCGTTCCCCGCCGCTGTCGTTAAATCGCCGTCATCCACGACGACGAACATTAATCCGAGTAACGCTGTCGATTTCAACTTAACGAGGTCCATCCCTTATCTTGGCTTTCGGTGGAGCTCGCGTTAATTAAAAAAACGGGTGGGGCGCAGGAGAGGAGAAGGAGGAAGAGGAGAGGAGAGAGAGAGAGAGAGAGAGAGAGAGAGAGAGAGAGAGAGAGCGCGAGGAGAGGGGGGAGAGCGTAACGCGTAAAATGCAAAACAGGTACAGCCTCGTTCCCATCGTATATTAACGATTCGACGCCTTAGTGGGAGGACGCAACGTCCCGGCGCCATGGGCCCCGATAGAATTTGAAGCGTTACATTAGTCCGACTAATGACCGACATGACTGTCCGTAGGTAGATACCGGTTCTTCGAGATCTCTGAGAGAGCATGCCCCGAAGATCGTTGCACATGAGAGAGCAATACGGAGGACGATGATCGCCTCTCCGCGATGAGGGCGCCACGTACTCGAGTGCATCTGCAGAAAGGAACGGCTCGTATGCGCTCGCGGGAGTGTCGTGAGGCGGCTATTGAAACGCGATGAATTTAACGGTTCTCGTTTCTCTCTCTCCCCCTCTCTCTCTCTCTCTCTCTTTCTCGCGCGCGCGCGCGCGCTCTCTCCCTTTTTCTCTCCTTCTTCCGTGGAAATTATTCGTGTTCCGAGGAGGAGACGCGAGAGCTCCGCTTATCGGAATTAGATCGGTGATATCGGGCTTTCCGCTCAACGTGTCTGATCGTTAAATTTTTCAAATCGCGTCTCCGTCGCGAAGATCTCTGCGACGAGGATTTTCAAGTTAATGCGAAAAGTAATCCGACGAATATGAGTAAGACTGTTCCTCCGTTTTTCGAAGATTGAATGGAAGACGATTATAAAATTAATACACGCGAGACGACCGCTCCAACCAGGGACATTTCCAAATTTACCAGCAGCTTCTTTCCCGATGACAAGGTGAGACGACTCACGCGAATGCATTAAACTATCGGGATTAGGCGCGAGTTTAAACATATGTTCCGGGGAGGAGCCGGCTTTTGGAATATGTTGGAGACCTCCATCTTCCTAATAATTCTACGTTTAGGCGGGCACGTACGGCCGCGGGGGAGGTTTTCCAGGATACCATTCCAGATCTCGACCCCCCCTCTCTCTCTCTCTCTCTCTCTCTCTTTCTCTCTCTCTCTCTCTCTCCGGTAGCGAAACGAGAAGACAAGGGCGCGCCAGAATTAGAAGGAGAGACGTGGCGACATGCTCCGAGATTGTAACAGGAAACGCGAGCTAGCGCCGATCGTAAGTCAAGGAAGCACTCTCGCTCTTAAAAGCCCGCAGCTCGGGGAAAGAAAACGGAACGTCGCGGCGCGCGGCACGCGCGCTAATTCATAGCTCGCGAGAGTCGAAGCGACAGTCCTCTCGCGTTCTTCTTCGCAGTCGTGTTTCTCGCCTCGGTTACGGCCGCGAGTCGGAAATTTTGGACAGTGGTAATGAGGCTTAAGGGACACCAGTGTAATCAGTGCGCCCAAACTCGCTTGAGAATGACGTTCGCTCTCTCTCTCTCTCTCTTTCCTTCTCCCTCTCCCTCTCCCATCCTCCCTCCCTACGCGCGCGCGTGCATGCTTCGCACTACCAAAATTAAATTCCTAGTGAATTACGAGGCTACCGACCGCCCGAGCGAATTCATCACGGTGGTTGCTTTTCTTAATGAATGTCAAACTATGCTTTCCACGCTCCCGGGAGCTTGTCGGCAGAGGAACATTTGAGCTCGCGAAACGTCGGCGCAGTCGAAATGACGTACGACACGACAGTCGAGGTAACTTGTTCCGTGTACTTTGTGTCGGTCGTGCGTCTGAACGGAATAGCAAAACATCGAGGCGAGACGACACAGTTTACGTGTCGTGAGAAAATACATCGAGAATCGTGTATCTTTGACTCTGTCAATAATGAGAGTCTTTCTCTCTCTCTCTCTCTCTCTCTCTCTCTCTCTCTCTCTCTCTCTCTCTCTCTCTCTCTCTCTCTCTCTCTCTCTCTCTCTCTCTCTCTCTCTCTCTCTCTCTCTCTATCCGACTCTACCCGTTTCATGCACGAACATGTCACGAAAAACCGTTAGAGATCATGGCCGACATCAATATTCAAAATGGAGGCAGGTGCCATTTTGTCGCATGAAAATTAGCGAGAGAAAACGTAACGTATTCGCGCCAAGAATGCTAGGTTCGTTCACTTCTGAAAGCGCAGGATTAGCCGAGTTTTCAAAGCTTCGACCTATCTTACTAGCAGGACGGATTCCACGAATCCGCCGTTCGACCGAGCAGTCGTATTTCCTAGAACTTAAAGCGGAACGCGTCGTGTATCGGTGTGTATCTCTGTACTCTCTCGCGCAGTCCGCCGCCTTCGCCCGGCGCATATTCGAAAACATAAGTGAATAACCACGAGGAGACGTACTTGAAAAAAACTGCTGTCGCTGTAACCGCATGCCTGGTCAGCCTCGGCAACGACGACGTCGAGCAGCGTGCGCTAACATTGAGATAAGAAGAGCCGCTCCAAAACTTGCGTCTCGCGAGCAAGCGACGTAATACCGTCGCACCGGAGTCGAGCTGCTGCCGAGAGACACGACCGAGCGGGAGCGGCGGCTTCGTGCGATTCCGTGGACGCTCGGCGCTCCCCTCAGTCGCCAGCCGAGTCTGCCGACGCGAGACGAACGGCCGCGACGGCTCGCTCGGCCGACAGACGCGTCCGCGGCACGGAGCAGTGAGGTGGCGTTCTCGTTCAGTCCGTCACGGAGTGCAGTCTCGTAGAGTTCCCATCGGCGACTCTGTCTCGCGCGCGCGCGCAACCCTCAAACCTAACCGACTTGAACGCCGCGACTCGCGATGCCGATGCAGTGAGTAACCGCGCGCGCGCGCGCGCACGTGAATCGGTGTGTTCGTTCGATCGCATCGTTCGATTGTCCGTCGTGCGTTCCTCGCGACTTTCGGCCGTTCGCACGGAGCGCGAGAAAAGTGAGAAAAATCTCGGAGTGTGACTTCTTCTCGAAGTACGCGACCACGACGCTGCTATGATGCGAGGATACTGCGAGGATAGTGCTCGGTGCTGGAGAGGATAATACCGCCGTATCATACCGTGAGATCCCAGTGCAACCAACAGTGTGAGATTTGACGTGCTTTTCCCGACGTTTCGAGTATTACGATCGATCGACGATCGGATCGGAGTATCGCGCATCGATTATCGCATGCATCTCGCGTCTCTCGACGCGATATGCGGAGGTACGACACAGTGTGCACGGAAAGTGTTGATTTGGCGAAGCCGCGGGTCTAGTGCCGACACGGGGATACGCATTCACGCATTCACGCGCGGCTCACTTTCGTGGACTCGGGCACTCCGGAGATTTCGAGATGCGACGCGCTGCCGCTATCGCTTGCGTTCGCTGGCTCGAGTGACTCGACACGGCGAGCGACGGATAGTTGCCGCGCGCTCCGACGGTGCTGTGTGTGTTGCGCGGCCGGCTGCTGTGTGACAGCGCGCACAGTGCGCTCGCAGCCTCGCCGTTGTTTCCGAGAAAATTTCGGGAAAACAGGAACCAATGAGCAGCCTGGCGAGCTGTGCTCCAGGCGAGATAAACACGGGCTGGATCCATGGGACTAGGCGGACTACCTCGGACAACGACGCGCCTAGAGAGGCGGATCGAATTTGATCGTTGCGACTTCGGAGTACTCCAAGTCGACGTCTCGCCGATAGATTGAACCTGTGACGGAAGCTCCGCCACAGGCCGGTGAAGCGCGCCGCCGATTTCCTTCGACGTGAATCCACGTTGGCTGCTGCCGACGGTGAGCGTACTGGGTCGTGAGAAATCACCGGTAGCCGGGGAGAGATCGTCGGAAATCGTCGCCGGTAGCCGGGGATTATCGTCGAGCATTATCTCTCAGCGAGGTCGTGTGGCTCCGCGATGACTGTGGTGTGAGTGACAGAAGGTCGCCCGATAAGGTGGATAAAGGAGATTCGAGAAGTGACGCAGGATCGGCGATTTATCGGGCACACACGGTCAAAGTGGAGTGTGGATGTGGTGGAGGTGCGACAGTGGTGGAAGAAGTAGGTGGTTGTGGTGGACGACTGCAACGAGGTCGGCAGGTGCGAAAGTGCGGGTGCCGTTCGCCGCGTCGGTGTCGGTCGTCGAATCCGGGTGGCCGTGGTGACGGTGCTGATCGTCGTCCACATTGTTACCATGGTTTCCTCGTCTTTCGTGACTCTGGTGTTCCTCGTGTGCCTGCAAACGGTTCTACTGTCGACTGTGAGTAACTGCGCGAAGACGATCACCATGTACTGGAACACCACCAATTCCATGTAAGTGCGCGTCGTAAAGGTGCGATTTACGCCGTAGAATTCGCCCGCGAGATTCGCGTGCAATTATCGCGTCGCGATCGACCGACCGACTCGATCACGTAATTCGCGAGTGCGATGCTCCGGAGTGAGAGAGAGAGAGAGAGAGAGAGAGGGGGGGGAGGGGAAAAGAAGTGAACATTTCACGGGAATTCGTGGCCGCCGCGTGAAACGCTCTCTCGTTCGGTGCGAAGCGACGGGATTCGGTTGCTTGAACAAAAGTACAGAATGCTTGGTGCGAATTACGTGATCGACTCGCCGATTGCGACGGAACGCTCGGCGAAGCGGATGATGACGACGAGTGAAATTCCGTCGCGAATGAAAATCGCGTAGACGACTAAATTCTGTTCGGCAACGCTTTTCTCCGAAAATAATCCTGTTTCGCAGAAATCTCTATCTGCGAAATCTCTCGTTCTTTGCAAGAACGAAAATCTTGCAAAATAAATTATAAATAGCTGTGAGCGTACACGCGTACTTCACGTACGATGAATATTTCCCCTGAGATCGAATTTCGATCGAATAAATTGTACGTTAAGGACGTCGCAATTTTAGCCTCAAAATGGCCGTCTGACTCCGATCCGCGACGAATCCACTTGCGGAATCAGAATCCGATAATCATTTTTAGCTTGAAGAAAAACATGGATCTATACGGAGAATATGGGTCTCGCAGTGATAGAATCCATGTACACGTAATCTTGTCGTAAAATATTACCGTCGCACAAGTCATCAGTGAACGAGCTGGAACGTGGAGAATCGATCTGGCTTGTTCGTTGTCGGCGGTGATATCTCTTGCAAAATCTCCGCAGAATTCATGATCGTGACAAATGTTGAAACGCCTTTTTTCTTCCCTCTCTCTCTCTCTCTCCCCCTCCCCCCAAACGCCCGCACTTTTCTCCGCTATTCCTTTCTCGTCCGACGTGTCGGTCTTTTCCTTTGTCGTTAGTGACTGGCGCGAGCGAGAACTATATCGCGTTTGGCGCGCGTGCCAAGACGTTTAAAGTCGCTCGAGTGCTCGCGGCCGAGCGTTTTGCCGGCGAATCGATTTCTCACGGAACCGGCGTCGTCGTCGTCGTCGTTTCGAATAACAGCCACCCTCCTCCCCCCTCGGGTCTCGCCCTCTCCACTTCCGGCGTGCTTTTATCGCGCCGGGCGTGGTATCGCGTCTGCCAAAATTGCAGCGGCGCGGCCGTGTGTACGTACGACTTTAATGCGCCCGGCGAATTGGCCGATCCCGACCGGCGTTTCCTCGTGACGTCCAAATTGCAGGCGATCGCGGAGAAAAAGAGAGGCGGAAGCGACGTGTCAGAACTGCGCCGGGATTATGGCAGGCGCAATATTGTAGACCGACGTTGCAGTCCCGCTCGCGCGAACGTGTTGTTGCATCGCCGTGAAGCGCCTCACGATGCAAATCGTGAAGAAAGTTCGGCGTAACGGTGTAGTGGTGAGCGATTCCGTGATTGACGAAAAAGGAACAATTCCGCAGCCGGGAGAACAAAAGAGAGAGGAGGGGGAGAAAAGGACGAAACTTTTAAATATCGAAAATTCCGTAGCTGAAAGTTTCTCTCTCTCTCTCTCTCTCTCTCTCTCTCTCTCTCTCTCTCTCTCTCTCTCTCTCTCTCTCTCTCTCTCTTTCTGAGCCGAGCGAGCCGAAAATTTCCGAGTTGGCTGAAAAGTTAGAAGTCACGGAGCGAGCACAATCTCTCTCTCTCTCCTCTCTCTCTCTCTCTCTCTCTCTCGTAGAACAGCCGAGGCGTCTCGAGATTTCGACGATGACGGTTTTATGCGCGCGAACGGTCCGGGCTGGAAGTATTCGGAATTTTATTGCTTTCGGCATGTCGTCGTTCGCGCAACGACGAGTCCCGTAAGCGTGGAGAAACCCCGTTATTAGGAATCTCGCGAGGCGAGCAGGTCACACGGCGGCGGCAGTCGCCCGCTTAATCCTCGATTGTGTGATACGATATCGCCTCTGTCGCTTCGGCTAGCTGCTAATGTGTCTTCTCTACCTGATGCGACATGTCTTTAGCGAGTGGCGGCGCGAGCGCGGGCGCTCTTTAGCGCGGTAATTGATCGATAAGGGCCGACCGAGCGGCACGACTCGTCTTAGACCGAGAGAGTGGCGGCGGCGCAAAACTGCAATGAGTCGCGCATGCATGCACGTGTGCGTGCGTATAAGTGCCGCATTGTGACCGACTTTTCAGCTCTGGACTCACTCGTCCGGCTTGCATAACTACGCGCGCTAAGGTTAACCACCGCCGCCGCGCGCGGCGGCGGCGTTTTTCCTCCTTTTTCCTCTCTTTCATCCTTTGCTCTTTTTTTTTTTCATTCCCTCTTCCTTTTTGTTGCGCGAGGAAACACGGGCCTTATATGTAGCTCGTTACTCCGACGTTATTTCTTTCGTCTGGTGTGAAGCGGCCTGCGTAATTCGCGGGAGACTTTTTGCCCTCGTCCCGGGACGAGAGATGTATGTCCTCTCGGCTCCATTCGCTCGTGCTACTCGTGTTTCGCATCGAATCCGGCCGCTTAACGAGTGTAACGTCTCCATTTTTGCGCCGCGCAAAGAAACCGGCCAATTTCCCGCCCCCGGCTTCGACTGACTTCAATTAACGACCGCAATTAACGACGTCAATTAACGTCCGACGCGGCGATCACTGCCTTCAACGTCGCGTCGTACGTCGGAGAGAGAGAGAGAGAGAGAGAGAGATCGGGCCGCTCCCTTCTTCTACTTATTACCTTTAATCACGTCTAAAAATCTCCATCGCGCACACCTCTAATTACGGAATTAAGCCGCGCGTCCGTCCGTCCGATTCTTCGTTTTTGATCGCGCGACGGTAAACTCGCGCCCCCCTCTCGCGCTTGACTTTGCATGACGAGACGATTTTTCTATTGACCATAGGCTCCGTCGCTTCGTCTTGAAAAGGAAACGGGAACGAGACGCGGTGTTGTCGTTACACCTTATTCCGGGTGTCGCTGACACGAGCAAAATCCGGACGCTCTATTCTCTACTTACGAAGACCCGGCGCGTCTACCTGACTTTGACGATCGTCTCGAAGTCGCGCGTGCATTACGAGCCGGTTACGAGGCTACGGCCGGCGAGCGAGTGAGTGAATGCGTGCTTGCTTGCTTGCTTGCTTGCGTGCGTGCGTGCGTGCGTGCATGCGTGCGTGCGTACTACGTGCGTGTGTGAGCGAACGAACGAGCGTTGTGCTCGCATACGTGCGAGAATCCATTTCGCGCAGGAGAGGGACGCTGTCAGGCCGTCCTCCTTGTGGGACGTACGAAGGGGCAGTAAAAAAGCGCGCACCTCCTTCGCGGGGCCCGAAAAAAAGACACGGACCGGGGAGAGGGAGACGTGACAAGGCGCAAAAAAGGCGCCCGGGATGCCGAAACGGGATGCCGTAAATCTCGGCCTCTTATTGGGAAATTGAAATTCGTTTTAAGAAAGCTGTCGGCCGCCGCGCGCACGAGAAGACGCGAGCTAAACGAAGTAATGAAAGAAAGAGAGACGACCGATGTGCCGCTTGATTATCATAAATCTGCTTCCGCGATCATCGCAACGCAGACGCGACTATCGCCATGAGGCGTAAGCTCCGACGTTTACTGCTCACCCTCGGGAATAACCTCCGAAAAGGATCTCGCTCTTTCGCTTTGCGATTTTTTTTTCTTTTTCTTTTTTTTCCGAGAGGAATGAGTAAAAGGCGAAGAGAAAGAAGCAGCGTGGAAAGCGTACACCCGCGTTGCGCAAACGATCGACAGCGACTGCCGTTGCGACAGTCACGTCGTCGCGCCGCGTTCTTAAATCGGACACGTGAGACGCGCAGACGGGAGTTCCTTTCGTATTGCACACGCGATGCGTAGCAGTGACACGCATTCGCGCGTGCGTTCCTCTTCGCGTGTGCTTTCCACACGAACGAGCGAAAACACGAGCGGCGTCGAGGAGTCGCGTCACATCGCCATTGGAGACTTCAATGCCGGCAACGAGATACGCGCTGCTAGATTATTGAACTCTCTACGCTCCTCTTTTTCGCACTGTTCTCTCTTTCCCTCTCTCCCTCCCTCTCTCTCTCTCTCTCTCTCTCTCTCCCTCTCTTTCTTTTTCTTTTTTCTTCGTTGGCAGCAAATATAATTTTATCGGAATCGGTGAGCACGATTAAAACTGTCGTTTCTAGCTATTGTGTTTTTGTTTTGATTTACACGCAGTTTACCTTGGTCTCGTCATTTTTCTCTTTTTTTCCAAAGGAAAGAAACTTGGTTCTTTTCCGCCGTCGACTACAAATGCGAAGAACCTGATCGTTGCAAGGAAGGTCGATGTATCAGAAAAATATTATGAAGAAAAAAAAATGCTCGTTGAAGTGTCAATTCGTCACGTTGTTTTATGTTGCCATGATGAAACAGTGATATCCGTGGCAGCTGTAACAACATCGTCCGGCTCTTTCTTCACGACTAGCCGGTGAATGTAGACGATATCTTCGTATAAGTGTCGAGTTTCGAGCCCGGCGGCAACGAGTCCGGAGCTCGTTGCAGCATTAGTTTTTCTCGTACGATTATTACGTCCGATACCTCGGATTTCAACGTCGCTACGAGCGATTCTAATGAATGGCGAGCGTGTTGGCTCGTGACCAAAACGGCCACGCCGAAATACTGAGAAGCCGGCGGTCTATTCGTCATATCGCCAGAATTGCCAGCGTCGGGAGATGTGCTTAGTAGATGAATCTAAATGCGTCATTGTCGAGCGCGTCATTCAAAGAATTCCTACGGCGAATTCCGCTCGTCTACCCGTCGCCTTCCGCGAACGTGCGTGCCGTATCGTTGGCGCGTCTATTTAGATAACGCGTGCTCGCTACCCGGTAAGCCGAATTGTTATCATGCTCAGCGCGCAAAGAGCAGAGTTTCGTCGTCCCCGGCGAAACTATGCATTTTCCCGCGAAAATTCGTGGCTGCCCGTTACACTTTAGCGCGAGCCGCGG